TCCTAGTGCATAATTTTGCTTTCAGCTTTAATAGACTGAAAAGTTGTGTGCATACTAAAGATATGGCCTAAAATGTATCCATTATAATTTATTATCAGAAGATATTTGATTGATATGCCTGCTATATATAACTATACACTGGAATTGCATAAAAATTTCTCAGGAGGTAAAGAGTTATGAGTGGAAAATTCTAGAAGCTTTGATTTATTTAGTGTCTAAATATGAAGAACATTTATGACATTTAGTTTGTACTTTGTTGGTTTTGGTGTTTACCTCAGCAGTATTTGAAAACTAAAAACTGGGATACGTTCATCACTAGAACACTCCTCATGAAAGTGTTACGCAAAAGTGGTTCTCAACCCTTGAAGACCATTCATAAATCCAATGGATACATCATTTCAAACATAGCATTTTGTAGAACTCATACTTAGCCTAGGCAAGAACACTATTAGGCATATGGACAATGTCAAGATATTCTTCAAATTACTTTTCGTTTAACTAAAAGGTGATATTCTTTCAAGACACAGGCCAGTTTTGAAAAACTGTCTACTCTCTACAGTCAATGCCTAAACACAACAAAATCCATAAAGTACCCATGAAGAACCAACCAGAAGCTTAATTCATACACTAGCATTCATTTTCCCTGAAGAGATGTGATCAGACAGGAGGACAGAGGCATTGATCTCACTGTGTGATGAGAACTAGAAAACCTTCTTCTAAGGTATCGGGAAGGAGAGTGGTGGGTGGGTTGGGCTGCTGGGACCACAGGGGGAATCAGAATGCAGGCAGTGACAGAAGGAGTCTCTTGTGAGCAGCCGGGCAAGAGCAGCCAAGGTTGAGATAGCTATTTAGGACAATGGCGAGAACGAGAAGATGAACACAGGTCTTCATCCTTACTCCCATCAAGCCTCTGGGCAGATGCCATCAAGCTTCTGTTCACTAGGGTCACATAGCAATAGCCAAATGGCCCGAGTGGCTTGTGCCTAGTAGACTCTGACTATCCATGTCATTTTATTTGTGCAGAAATTCTTTAATTTGTATTCATTTGATGTTCAGCATCAACTAGTTAAAAACCACTGCTAGCATCCAGGTCAACTCTGAAGAGCATCCAAAGCCTTCTGGGTAGACCTGAGGTCAGAGCATGCAGCAGAGGAGACAAGGCAGATGTCCCAAACACAGGACTTCTGCCACTACAGTTACATAATTTAACATTCCATGTGTTTTAAGGGTTGGGATCTGGGAAACTCATCAAAAAGTCTTCGCTTTAAGATATTTTAACAAAAAGAACAATCATAACCAGATTTTCTATGCATCTTACTAGGTTTCAAAATTCCTTACACTCACAAAAGTTTCTTTAAATTATTTTTCATATTCAAATCCTAGAAATCAGGTAACCCAATGCTGGGCTTTGGATGCAAGAGAGCTGGCCGTGATGAGAAAACCTGCAAGAACTACCTCTAGCTTAGAACTCACAGAAGCAAGCCTCAAGAGATCCAAGAGCTGTGCAAATGACAAAAATAATGATCCACAATGGCAATGCCAGTCCTGACCTGGTGAGCTGCAGGTCACTCTCTCTGCTTCCCGTCCTTGCTACTCTTGGCTTCTTGTCACACTGCAAAATAAAAAAGGAATAGCAACTGTCAAATAACCCAAGAGTGGCTTCAAATACTCGGGTCTAAAACGTCAGACACTATGAAGTCAGTCAAACAACATTTCTGCTACAAGTTTCTGAATAAATTTTCAGAAATTTGACTTTAATACTCTTTTCCCCCTAGGCCTGATTCATAGCCAATGGTGGAGTCATTGAACTGTGCCATTTTGCAGCTGGTAAGTGGATGATTGGTGAAAAATAACCAAAGAACCTTTTGTGAATGACATTTCAAAAGACAGTGATACTTGAAGTGTAAAAATGGGAATTAGCTATTTTAGAAATGTGACGGGTCAGTCAACTTTAAATACTTTATTAAGGAGCCACATCAGCAAGTGTGTATACACGTGCATATGCAAACAGGCTTGTGTGTCTTGTGGGCATCCCAGGCTTAGTTTTATTGAGATGGACAATTATAATCATTTTATAAGATACTGTACTTAAATTATACTTGAAACATTATCCTTGCAAGAGAACTCCAAAGAAATCATCCTAACAGGAAGTCACATGTATTGAAATGTATTTACTAGCACACAGCACAGCTGTGGCCACCCTAGGACACTAAGTAGAAAAAGAATCTCCAGGCTAAGAAATAGTGAAAAGCATAATAAAGCCAGAAACACCTGATTCAAACTAAGTCACATTACCATTATCTGCAAGTCTTCTAACCCTATGGTGAAGCTAAAAATGCAAAGTATTTTCTAAATAAAAATATTACCATGATGTCATTATTTTTATAGTGAGAAGTTTATCAGTTCCTCTATGTGTTTTAGGTTTAGCCACTCCAGTGACCAAATTCTGTGATTACAAGTTGTTCAAGCATTTACTGATGATATTTGAAGTAATGCAATAAATAAATGCAATTACTAAATTAAATAAAGGAGAATTGTACATAGTGTTGCCCTAGAATGATTCTATCTTACCAGGAAGCTTACATATTCATGAATTTAAAAACAATACTTAAAATGATACTCTGGGGTAACACTAAAATGTGGTCTTAATAAACCAAGTTCATGTAAGAAAGTGACAGGACTGGTCACTTATGTTATTATTATTTCTCTTACTAATCTTTATATTCCAAAAAACCTAAGTGGTTTTTAAATGATTTCTGAATTTCTTAAATTATTTCAAAGTACATTAAATTCTAAGGATAATTATATGTCATGGTCATGTGGCATTGGTCCTGGAGAGGAAAACTTCTCTCAGCTTCTGAAAACCAAACAATATAAGAGTGTTGTAATGAGGAAGCCACATCATCGTACAATTGTGCTGACAGACTGTGAAAAAGCACTTGACAAGCAAGACCCACAACTCGTTCTTGACAAAAGCACACACCTTAGCCACCTAATAACTATCCTCCACAACCTGCTAGAAAGCATATAAAACACACAGTATTTAACATTGAAAAGTTGTGTCCCTTAAGGTTGGGAGCAAGACAAAAACATGTGTTCACACTGCCTTCACCTAACACAGGGTTAGAGGTGACACCTGGCATCCCAAAGGAAAGAAGGAGAAACCAGTAGCTTTGACAGAATCGAGAAGTTATCTGGTATTTTATTTGTCTGGTTGTTTTTGTTTTCCTGTAAAAAATGTTTATCTTTAGAATATCTCAAGTCACTAAATTATCACAAGACCAAATGTCTGACATCCTAAGGCTGAGGGTACTTGACCATATTTTGACATATTGTCATAGTTTAGCACAGAATAATTCTAAAAAAGAATGATCAAGACAACAATTCCACACTTAAAAGTATGGGAGAGGATATAATAGGAATAAATTTAATAATGGGAGAAAATTTGTATATTACAAACTAAAAACAGACCTGAAAAATGTCAACTAAGAGGATAGAAAGACATCCAATATCCATGGATAAGAAACCACTATTCTTAAAATGAAAATCTCCACCAATTTATCTGTAGATACAACAGGGAATCATATATAATTTGACAAAATGATCCTATTTTTTTTATGGAGATGCAGCATATCCCAGCATAGCTAAAACAAATCCAAAAGAGAAATGACTGAGGATGCAACTGTTGCAGTTTCTAAATTTACAATGAAGCTACAGCAACCACAGCAGGGTCTGGCAGGCAGTGGTCCACACAGGGAAAACACTGCAGTGGAAAGGACAGGGGCTTCACATTCAGAACCAGCTTGGCCTTTGGCAAGATTCTTAAGGAAGAAAAGTTGTCACTTGATGCTTTATTTTATTGTTGTTGGCTTTGATACTGAATCTTACTGTGTGGTTCTTGTCGACTTGGAGCTCACCTTGTAGACCACGCTGGCCTTGAACTCAGGAAGATCCATCTACCTTCTGAGTTCCGGGATTAAAAACTCGAACCACAATACCCGGCTTTTAAAAGGAAGACTTGGGCTGCCTTGGTGATAAAGCCCTTTGAGTTTCATTTTGAGCACGACTCATCACAGCTCTTGGATTTGGGCACATGTTTGCTAGGTTCCCTTTATATTCCCCAAGTGACAAACAAATAGTTGTTACACTAATAAGGTGGCCCAAGTTAGGGTAAAATATACTTGAGGTTGGAGGCACAGAATTTCCAGGACTGCCCTACTAATGTCTCAGTGATTAAGTCACTAAAATCATTTTTTACTCCATCTGTAGCAAGTTCAAAGCCAGCTTGAGTTAAAAAATCAAAGCAAACAAACAAAAAAAAAGATTTATTAATTCATATTATCCCCATGCCAGCATGTGTGTGTGTGGCCAGTAGGAAGTCACTAACTCTGCTTCTGTAACTCATCATCTTCTCAATGGAGGTCTCCATCATTCCTGTCTTATGGGATGGTTGGTAAAACATCACGTGTTAAGGTGTCCAAGGCAACCGTGTGAATTGTGCATCTCATCATATTATCTTCCCCTTAACACCATCTAAATTCAGTCTCATGACGGCAGTGGAGAATGTGTAATGTCTAATGGGCAGTCTTTTATGTACTTGCAATTTCTCACCCACACAGTGATAGAACGCGGCTTTCTGACTGGGCAAGGGCTATGTCGAGGGTCTTTGGGTGGCACAGAAAATGAAGTTCCTTCAAGAAGTAGGGGGTGTTTTGAGGGGGTGAGGAAATGTCCTTTCCAGAAACGGACTAGGAAAGGATGCCAAGAAGAAACAACAATGCCACCGGCCTCATGCAGGACACTGTGGGAACAGGAATGGTTTTCTTGTGTAATTGAGGTTTCCTAATTTTGCTGTTAAACGCTCTTTGGTGTTAAAAATAGGTGATTCGTGCGCATTTACAAACCTTCCATGAAGGCCTCTGGCTCAGCGTAGAGCAACACTTCCTCCCTGCTCTTCCCATATCTCTCTAGTCACTGAGTCAGGCATGGTAGTGACTATCACAGTGCCTGCCTCCCCCACCCGCCATGGGGGTTTCAGTCCCTAAGCCAGGACCAACTTGATTCATACAAATCCTCCTGTTTCAACATTGCGCATGCTCAGATCACGGGCATGAGATGGCTATGAGGCTCTTACCTCTTTACAAAATGCATCCCTCCTTCTCCTGTGGAGCTCCTGCATCCCTCCTTCCCCTGTGGAGCTCCTGCATCCCTCCTTCCCCTGTGGAGCTTGCGCTCCTTGCTTTGTTCACTACTTTCTTGACTATATTCCTCCTTTGGCACACCTTGCTGTGCTCCTCTTTCCTGGATTAAACTCTGAACAGAGAAATTTTTACCCTATGGTTATGGAATATTATTTTAAGATGTGTTACATTTGTTTATGCTGTGGGAAATTTGATGCAACGATATGTTGGGCTCTTTTATGTTGCATTTGTTTAACTCTGTGAAGCTGTGTTACTTTGCCTTTCTAAAACACCTGATTGGTCTAATAAAGAGCTGAATGGCCAATAAACAAGGCAGGAGAAATGATAGGTGGGGCTAGCAGGCAGAGAGAATAAGTTGGAGGAGGGCATCAGGGGCCAGCCAGTCAGCTACACAGCAAGTTATGGAGTAAGAAGTAAGAAAAGTACACAGACAAAAAGCCAAGAGCCAAAACATAGATGGAATAATTTAAATTAAGGAAAGCTGACTAGAAACAAACCAAGCTAAGGCTGGGCATTTATTTATAAGAAAGAATGAGCCTCTGTGTATGATTTATTTGGGAGCTAGGTAGAGGGCCTCCAAAAGAGCCAAAGAGTAACAAACAAACAACTCTACCCTCTTCCCTGCCTGTTCTGCCCTCAGTACAACTCTCAGCCCCTTCTCAGTGAAGCCTTAGCTAACTCTCCTAGTGATCTCAAGGGATTTTCTCTCAGTCCCCTG